TGGCAACTGTAGTAAGGTCAGCCCAGGATTGGGCACTGTTTTGTTCTGCTGTGCATAAGGTCACTATGGGTCTGTGCTGACTCAATAGCACCTAACAACAATAAGTCGAGTTCTGATCATCCAGCCATTGAAGCTAGGACGAATAGGTACTGTCTGCGAGTATGAGCATTCTTATGCAATTCCCCTCACTTCATATCAGCTGGACGCTTCACTCTCAGTTCTGCCCCTCTGTGGCTATGTTCTTGTCCATGGGCTCAGGAGTCCCCAGGTCTCACCATTCTTCTGGCCAGCCAGGTCTCACCATATTCCAGGTTGACGGGAGTTTATGTGACATGGTTGGACTCAGCCCACATCTTCAGTAGCCCAACGTGGTCTTCAGCAAGATTACATGCCTGCTTGTGTATTCCCTGAGTTTCAGTCTTGGAAGAGGATTTGCCCTGAAGGGATTTGATTGCTTGCCTTGATGGCACCCTGGTAAACAACTTGCTTATTCTTGTGGTAGCCAATCAGACTGCCATTTTGTTTTTAATTTTTCCTGCTGGGCTTTCTTTCAAGAAGTGTCTTCTGTTCCTCTAGCTGCTCCAAGCTGGTCTGCTTGCCTTTTCAAGTGGAAATTTCCCACCTCAGCGATTCTGGATGGGGATCAGTATTCCACCTAAGGTCTTATACACTGCAAAGGTTCCTCAAGAAGTCTCTTTCACTGGTCAAGTTCTAACACCTCTTTTAGGTATTCCAATCAATTATAGGCTGAAGATGGGCTTACAAGCTTTCTATAGTGATGTTTCTGGCTATTCCTTTCTATCCCCCTCAAGTGTCTATTTTACAATAGTAGGCAGGGAAACCAAGATTCATAAGACAAACATCTTAACATTATTTTACACATTCAGACTGTGCCTCAATCCCTATATCACAGAGCCCTGTTGTTCCAAGGTTGAGCAGACATCACTGTTTACCTCTTTTCCATTTAGCCCATGTAAACCTGTCTAAATGTTCTCCTATCTACCTTGTTCTTCCACCCTCCTCTCCCATCTTGTGTATTGCCACCACCCCCAACACCTGAACTATTGTGTGTCTATCCCCTACTCTGTGCTCTACCGTCCCCTCCCTCTCCCCAGTTCCCCGGTAACCAACAAAGAAATTTCTTTCTTTCTTTTTTCCTTTTAGTGTGGGTATTTTTTCTGAAACATTTATAATAATGGTCTTAAGCAATATTTCTCCTTTTGTGACTAATTTCACTCAGCATAATGTCCATCCATACAGCTTCCTTGTTATTCTTCAAGGTAGCATAATATCTCATTGTGTGGATGTACCAAAGTTTATTTATCCATTCTTCCATCGATGGGCACTTAGGCTGTCTCCATCTTTTTGGTATTGTGAATAGTGACGCTATGAACATTGGTGTGCATATATCTACTTGTGTTATGTCTCATATTTCTTATGGATAAATACCAAGAACAGGAATTGCTGGATTATAAGGTATTTCTATTTTCAACTTTCTGAGGAAGCGCCATACTATTTTCCATAGTGGTTGGACCATTTTGCAATCCCACCAGCAATGTAGGAGGGTCCCAGTCTCTCCACCAGTAATGATTTTTTAAAAGAAACTTTTACCTTCCTTCAAGTATCAGTTCAAATTTTGTTTGCAGATGTCCAACGCTTTTGTTTATGCTCTTCTGTGAGTTGTTCTAGTACCCATCTCACACAAACTTTTTTAAACCTAAGTCTATTTATTTCACAGGCAGAACCATGACTGATTTGCAAATGATTTTCTATATAATCCACTGTCTCTCATCTATTCAACAGAATCATTTCGTGTGCTTCCTCAATGTTGTCATCAGTCGTGTATGTGGATGGATGTTTTAATATAACTGGAATGCGGATAATTTTTGAATCACCTTCGTATAATAAAATGTACGTAGACCTGGAGTTAGAAGACCAAAAGGGAATAATATACTTGACATTGTTTTAAGTTGAAAGAACTGACTAAAAAAAATACAAACCTTGATTTACAATATTGAAAGATTCTATGGATAAAACATGAGGGTGCTTCAAAAAGTTCATGGAAAAATTCCATTATCTTTCAATTCCATGAACTTTTTGAAGTCCCTTCATATTAAATGACACAGGAAACATCAAAAGAAGATGGAAGGAATACACAGTCACTGTGCCAAAAAGAATTGGTGACCATTCAACCAATTCAAAAGGTAGCATATGATCAAGAACTGATGGTATTGAAAGAATAAGTCCAAACTGCACTGGAAGCACTGGTGAAAAACAAGGCTTCAGGAATTGCAGACTATCAATGGAACTGTTTCAACAAACTGATGCAGTGTTGGAAACACTCACTAGTCCATGGTCAATCAACTGGAAGAGATCCATGTATATACCCATTCCAAAGAAAGGTGATCCGGCAGAATGCAGAAGTTATTGTTTTATTGATATGCAAAGGCATTCAATTGTGTGAATCTTAACAAATTATGGATAACCTTGTGAAGAATGGAAATTCCAAAACACTTAATTATGCTCACGTGGAAACTTGTACAGAGACCAAGAGGCAGTTGTTTCAACAAAACTAGGGACTACTACATGGTTTAAAATTAGAAAAGGTGTGTGTCATGGTTGTATCCTTTTCCTATACTTATTCAATCTGTATACTGAGCAACTAATCAAAGAAGCTGGACTATATGAAGAATTAAAGGGAGATCCATTAACAACCTGTGACATGCAGATAACACAACCTTGCTTGCTGAAAGTGAAGAGAACTTGAAGGAAGTACTTAGGGATGAAGATTGAAGACTACAGTCTTCAGTATGGGTTACACCTCAACATAAAGGAAACAAAAATTCTCACAACTGGGCCAATAGGCAACATCATGCTAAATGCAGAAAGTATAGAAGTTCTTGTTTTTATTTTATTTCGACCTACAACCAGTGCTTATGGAAGCATTAGTCAAAAAGTCAAGATCTGCTGCAAAAGACCTCTTTAAAGTACTAAAAAGCAAAGAAGTCACTTTGAGGACTAAGGTGCAACTTACCCAAGCCATGTATTTTCAATCAAGTTATATGCATGCGAAAGCTGAACAATGAATAAGAAATACTAGACAAGAATTTATGCCTTTGAATCATGATGTTGGGAATGAATACAGACTGCCAGAAGAATGAACAAATCTGTCCTGGAAGAAGTACATCCAGAATGCTCCTTAGAAGTGAAAATGTACCTTGGACATGTTTTTAGAAGTGACCAGTTCCTGGAGAAGGACATCATGCTTGGTTAAGTAAGAGTCAGAGAATAAGAGAAGGCCCCTCAATGAGATAGATTGATACAGTGGCTGGCATAGAACCAGGCAGTGTTTTGTTCTGTTGTACATAGGGTTGACATGAGTCAGAAACAGTCCCATAGCACCTAACAACAATTAACTATGGATTAAGGAGTAGAGGTAGTACTCAGCTCATGGGCTGGGACCAGAGTACATATGGGGAATTGACTATCAAGGGGTTGAATAGAGACTCTTCTCCCATTGTTGAGGGAAGGAAAGAGAAATAGATCCATATACTGGTACATATAGATGCAGTGGTGGGAGACAGAAGGTGTTCATGTCTGTTGGCTATCATTTCCCCAATGATGTCTGGGAGGTTGGGATGGGTGGGGAAGGAGTGGAGAAGGTTGAACAATCTCAGGACTAGAAAGGTAGCTTATTCTAGGGCACAGGATCTGAGTGGCAGAAACAGCCTATCTGCTTGAGGTTTGCAATCATTTAGTCTTTTCATTTTGTTTTGTAAACTTTTTATTGTGAATTGAATGAAGGTTTATAGAGCTGATCATCAGTTTTACATCCAACAAATCACATTCATTTCATTACATGGATTCCAAGCCCCTCCATGGACCATTAGTTAAAAGTATTTACCTCTATTCACTTTAACTCTTGTAGTCATATTTTTACAAGATTGTCATTAATCTGATGCTGAGGCTCAGGATGCACCAAGTGTGTGGGTAGCTGAGTGGAACTGATGTCAAGAGACCAAGAGATCATGTTCTTGGAGACATGATGCTGTGTGCATAAACATCCCCAGGGATGATGACAGGAGTAGTATGTGGAAAGGAGAATGAAGCAGGCACTACCATCTTCAGGAGGCTTGCTTACCCCATACTAGAATGTCTGCTCCTTGAGAATATGGAGACTAAAACTGTCTTGAGCACTCCAGTGCCTGGCCCAGAGTAAGCATGCAGTAAAAATCAAATAAATGGATAGGTCTAAAATAAAATTTGATCTTTCGCTGTTATAATTAAGGAAACTGAGGCCTGAAGATCCCTCCCTAGGTGTGTCTGCCCATTTGATGTCTCAGAAGGGGACAAATGCAGCATGGACAAATGTATACATCTTTGATGTTCTTCCCTCTTCTCCTCCAGGCTGGCTCCCTCACCTCTGGTCTCTGCACTGCTTCTTTGTCAGTTCAACTGTTCTCCTTCGGGATACAAAATCCCCTCTTCTTCCTGAGCAGAAGACCAGGCTCTTGCAAAACTTGCCTTGCCAGGTTAACTGCTCCTCAGCCCCCTGGACGTCTCTGGGTCCATGCTCTCCCCTTTGATCCCTGGGCCCTTCCCCCTGCCCTCTGGTGAAACCCTGCCTGCCTTTTTGGCGTTCTAAGGGTGCCTCTCCAATCAGCAGCCACATTCCTTCAGCTATGCCTTTCTGCTGCACAGGAGGGAGGCTGGAGGCTGGAGGCTGGAGGGGCATACCCATGGATGTGAGCCCACTGGTGGGTGAGGTCTCTGTGCCCACAGGTGCCACTGGCAGGAACTGAAGTGAGAGATGATGAAACGTGGTCACATGGCGAACGAATGTGGGCTGGGGCTGGAAGGCCAACCTTATTAGCCAACCTCTGTACACTATACAATGGGTGAAGAGGGAGCGGCACGGGGTTTCCAGTTGACTAGAGTGGAAGTGGGGTGTGTGTCCGGATGTCTACTTCCTCCAGTGGCCGTGTGACTGCCCCAGGGGCTCAGGGCCTGTCGCATGGCACAGGACCCTTTCTCCGCTCGCGGCTCAGCAGAGTCACCAGCTTGGCTTTGAAGCCCGACTGCCCTCCTTGGCGCCCACTTCCCCCAGCCTCGTCGCTGGCCTCGCTCAGCTCCAGTTCTAGCAGCCGCCGGTACTGGGCTTCTAAGTTGTCGTCGGGCCCGGGTCCGGGTCCGGGCCCGGGCCAGCTCAAGTCTTCGCTGTTGTGGTAGATGGGGCTGGTCTCCGTGTTGCCCTCCAGCGCTCCCAGGTTCTCATAGAGGTGCTCGGCGGCAGCGGGTGGCCCGCTGGAGCGCTTGGCCACCACCGCGTATAGCACGGCGTCGTCAGTGGTGCGGCCTGTCAGCGGTGGCAGGCTCTGCGGCCCGGGCTCCGGCCCCTCGCGCGCCCTCCGGCTGCTGGGTGGCTCGAGCGGCGGCGTCTCCCGCAGCTCCCCGGGGGGCTCCAGGGAGGGCAGCGAGATGGCCCTCGGCAAGGGGCAGGGCCGGGCGGCCGCCAGCTCAGGCAGCCGCTCCCGCTGGCGGGCGATGGCCGCAGCCACGGCACCGCAGAGGTCGGGGGCGCGGGGGCTGCTGAAGGCGAAAAGGCCCTCGCCGGAGTCGCAGCGTCTGCCGGCTTCAAAGGTGAACACCCCCTGGGGGGAGCGACAAGTCGGGGTCAGTTCTGGGGCCAGGTGCCGGCCTTCCTACCAGACCCGCGGGGTGGGAACCTCACCTTGTCCGAGCCGAACTTGCGCAAGAAGCGGTAGGGCCAGGTGTAGAGGACCTGCGGGCTGCTGGATTCCCGCAACTGGATGGAATCCTGGCCCAGCGCCAGCAGGTAGGGCCCCTTCAGCTGGCAACGGGCAGCAGCCTCTGTCTTCTGCACCACCACTGAGAACTCGACCACTGCAGGCCCCAGGCCATGAGGGCTCCCTCTCACCAGCATGGAAGTAAGGGTAGCCCCCAGCAGCCCCCCAGGGATCCCAGCCCTGAGCCTCCCTTGACTCACCTTCCTGCCAGGAGGAGTAGATGGAGTTTTCCTCCATGAAGACAAGGCCCCTGGTGGGAGACTCAGCCTCCCCTGATGCTGAGGCAGATTCCCCTGTGCCCTGAGGGTGGGCCTACGGTCAGAGGTTAGAGTCTCCCCACTCCTTCCATTTGGCACCTCAGTCTCCCAACCCCCTTTCCCTACTCCTCCCTGGGTTCAGTAACTCAGGACACCATGACATACAAGGGCTTCCAGGATCAGTCCACTCTGCCAGTCCCCTGTGCCAGTCCTCTGAACCTGTTGCCCGAGACTGTGAGACGCACAGCAATCCCACCTGCTGCCCCTTGAAGGTGCTGAACATGAAAAATGTCAGAGAGCATAAAGCACTGGGTACACAGGGGGATGTCCTCTATAGGGACTGGGTTGGTTGTGTGTCCCCAAGAGCATGGACACTGAAGGGGCAGAAGAGCGGGGAAGAACCAAATAGTGACTTAGTCCGGAGCTCTTGTACTTCCCACTCCTTGGGCTTCTCTTTCCATCACTGACGAAAGCCCTTCCTTCTCCTTCACCCCACATCTAATCTTGAAGTTAGCCTTCCCGCTCCCTCAGACCTCCTGACTTTCAGCATCCCCTTTGGCCCAGGGTGACAGCAGCCTGCCTGGACACATACAAGCAGCTGCCTCACTGGTCCCCTGGTGGCTGCTCATTTCTTTTTGCTTTCTGGCTTGAGCCCTCCATAAAGCTCCTCATCTTATGTAGAACAAAATTCCAACCTGGCACCATGGCATGGTCTTGTCAAACTCCAACTTCATCTCTTACTATGCTTCCTTCTTTTCATTATGTTCTAGCTACACTGGTTTTCTTTCTGCCCCTGGAACACACCAAACTTTTTCCTTCCTTAGAGCCGTTGCCTATGCTGCTCCTCTGCTCCTAACCTTGCCCTGGTGGGTTCTGATTTGTCATTTAGGACTTAGGCCTACTCTTCCCCCTCAGAGAGGCCTTCCTTGGCCATCATCCTGTCCTTCATCACAGTGCTTCTGCAAAATTTTCTATGGGTTTCTGGACTGTTTTCCTGCTGTAGGCGCTGTGGAGGGAGAGAATGGGAGTGCCCTGCTGGCCCCACCCTGTGCTCACCGGGAAGGCCAGCTGACAGATGGGGCCTATCCAGGCCTGGCGGTGCTGCGCAGCCAGCAGGTGGCTTCGTTCGGTGGTGGTGAGCAGGAAGGCCCCAGTGTCTCTAGGGCAGCTCTCACCATCAGCGGGCAACACTGATACACAATCAGCCAGGCGGATGACCCCACGCCGTGCAGACCTGTCTCCTGAAGGCCCTAGGCCACAGTCTCGTACCTCCCAGCTCTCCAGTCGGGCCACACCTGATGGGCCTCCAGCGTATAGCAGTGCCCACACCTTCCGCCAGCATTTCTGTGGGAAAAGGGGAGACCCTCAGGTTGTGGCATCTTCCTGATGCTCAGCTCAGCTCAGCTCAGCTCAGCTCAGCTCAGTACAAGTAGTTCAGAACACACTCCTGACTACCTGGCTGCCCTCTGTCTCCCATCCTCAGGGCCCCCAGGGAAGAAGCCAGGCTAGTACAAAGAGGAGTCTGTGTGAGGTCAGTCAGCCCTGGGTTCTAACCTGCCACTCTTGCCTGTGGCCTCCTAAGCATTGTGAGAACACAAAGTTGAGGATTCCACTGGATAGTATCTGGGAAGGCTTGACCACCTGACACTGCTGTTGTGTTGGTCCCCTTCCCACCAAAAGGCCTCTCAGACCAAGGCCAAGGGCCAAGGGCCAAGGGCCAGGGGGGTCCGGGAGGCCTCAGCCTCATGATGGCAAGGAAGGAAACATGCAAATAGCTGTGAGCAAAGGAAACAGGCTGTTTATCTACCATAGCAGCAGCTGTAACTGAGCGGGGGGGTGCAGGGCTGGCTGCTGAGGAGAGATGGACTCCCCAGCCACCTCTCCTCCTGTGACCTGCTGGGAGCCAAGCCCTCTTCTGTGGGGTGGGACTCAGCCTCTTGTAACCTAGCTGACCCTCCTAGGAGTCTCTTTGGTTCCACTATGAGATTGTCCGGAGGGCTCTTGTCTAAACAGCCTCAGCTCTAAGCCGTTAGGAAGTTAGATTCTTGGTCCCTAGAAGGTGCTTTGGTAGCATAGTGGTTAAGTTGGGCTGCTAACCTCAGACTCAGCAGTTCAAAACTACCAGCCGTTCTGCGGAAGAAAGACGAGGCTTTCTGCTCCTGTAAAGATTTACAGCCTCAGAAACTCTGCACAGTACAGGGTCACAGTCACTATGAGTCGGAACCGACTCTACGGCACACCACCACCAGCCTGTGAATGAGGCCGGGACTACCACAGGCCCTGCCAACCTCAGCCCTTCAAGCCCATAACCAGGCTTTATTCCATTCTATTATACCTGGGTTAGGAACCCCAGCCCGACTCCCCATTTCTCCCAGGTCCGAGTGGAATGTCCAGGACAGTGGGGGTGGGGGATTGCTTTTGGCCCACTCTTGTCTTGGACAGCCTCCTGGCAGCTGAGGGGTGCCCACCTTGCCAAACTTGACGTGCTGCTGGTAGAGGATGCCATCCTTGACGGGGTTCTCCTGAGGCTCCATGGTTGCGGCTGGGCCGCAGGGCAGCCACTCCGAAGGCCTGAGGAGACTGGTGACAGGCGGAGGGGAACTCCTTACACTTCCCCTTCTGGCCACTTCCCCCTCCCTCCGTCCAGAGGCAGCTGTAAGGCTGGGGGGAGGGGATCCCTCTGCTTATACAGGCGTTGGGGTCATCACATGTTTTTTCTTTGGTGTCTCAGCCGGGACCCTTAGTGCCCACACCTGCCTGGCGTGGGCCTCAGACCGCTCAAGGGTAAAGGCCCCTGTCTGCCCTTGGGTCAGCTGGGAGAGCGTCTGACCACAGTCTTGCTCTCCTGAGTCATGAGCTCAGCCCCACCCCCTCCCCTGCTGCTGTACACCCCAGGCCTGGCTCCACCCTGAGTCCTTCTTGCTTTTCCGACTGAGTCCAGGTTTGGGCCATTGGGCCAGCAAGCAACCGTCTCATCTGTGCCACTCTGCGTTTCTTTCTCTCTGAAATATTTCTAATCTTCACTCCACCCCCTTAGCCCCTGCCCCATTGCCAGCCTCAGTATTGCCCCTTGTGACCCCTGCCCCTGGCCTTTCCACGTGGCAGCCATTTCTCCACCGCTCAAACCCAGCCCTCTTTCTCCCCATCCTAACTCGTTTCCTCATTGCCCCCTTCAGCCTTGAACTCTGGGTCCTGAGTTTGGAACCCCCAGACCAGCACCTGCAGGGTGTACCTCACTATCAGCCACCCCTTCCCCTTGGAGGTCTTTCCAGACTGTCCACACTGTTCTAGAACACAAGGGCCCTTGCAGTACACACTCCACAATGGGCACCCAGTCCACCAGGGCTCCACGCCTGAGCACCCAGCCACAAGTGTGTGGGTGGTACTTCTATGGGTCCCCTTGGAGAGGTCACATGCTCCTTTAGAGCCGGACTTCCTGCTGGGGACCAGAACCCAGGTTGTGTATGCCTGTGAGTCTGGGGACAGCTTCATGCTAGTCACTGGTGCTACCTCAGGGAAGGCATGAGCAACCAGACTGAGGAATACCATTCGAAGCATGTGGGGTGGGCAGCTTCTCCCCGCTGGGCAACTTTCTCAGGCCTCCTGGGCCGCGCTGTGTGCCTACAGCAGGAGGCAGTCAAGCAGCCCCGAGCCTGGGCAGCTCCCAACCGCCTTAGCCTTCTCGCCACCATCGCAAAGATGAAGAACTGGAGGCTCAGGAAAATAAACTGCCCAAGACCATGCACCAAATAACAGACATGACTTGAGCAAGTGCTGTTCCACTGGGATCAGCCTCTTACAGGCACCTTGCCTGGAGGAACTGCTCAGGAAGTGGCTGCCACCAGGACTGGCACTCCGCTGCCTCAGTTGGGTGTTGAAATCGTTTATCAGTAGCAGTCTCATGATGACTGCTAAGCTTAAGAGATGTGTGAGCTTCTCCACTCTCATGAGCTTCCCAGCAGGCCACTAAGAACCCAGTACTGATAGAGCTGTGCAGAGTGGGGCCCAGTGGGGCTGGTGGTCACCAATCAAGTTGGGCAGAGTTAGGGGTAGTGGGGCTTTGGTGAATGGTAGTCTTGTGTCATCTGCTACTCCTTAGTGAAGGGAATTGAGGGTTCCTCCTGGGAGCTTGTGCAGGTGGACAGTGGGCAGGAAGTGGCTTCCCAATGGGCCCCAAGAGGCTTCACTAACAGACAGGAAGAGGGAGGCTGAGGCAGGACTGGAGATTATGACAGCACCAGGACACCAGAGAACCAACCATTTCCCTTCAGTCTACCGGTGTGGCTCCCTCCCTGGGATATAAATCCACTCTAGAGAAGACACCCTGAGTCGTGTCCAGGTGGGGAGGGGAATCAAATTAGGTGGCTCCACACCTAGTCAGGTCCTAGCAAGCTGGTGCTGACAGGTGAGGGGCATGTCGAGGTTCTGACTCAGAGGGTGCTGAAACTGGAACGTAAAGGGCTAACAAGAAAAACCACAGAGACTGGCTGGGTTGAGACCAGAGAGGCTGTGCTTTAATGACAGCTGGGGTGAGGATAAAAATAGTAATTTTAGGGACACAGAAAGTAGGTAGTCAGGTCCAGCCTGGCCCAGCCCAGGCCAGCTGGGCCTAGGTTGCTGGCTTCTTGTTTGTTTGTGTGCGTGTGTGTGGTGGTGGCTGGACCCCAGGGACAGAGGCTTCTTGGGGAGAAGGAAGGGAGAACGACGGCTCAGAAATCCATGGAGCTGTGGGCCAGGTAATCCTTGCGGCCGATGTTGCTGACCTGCTTGGTCTGCATAGCCTCGAGCTTGGGGCAATCAGTGATCCGGTGGCCCAGACCCCCGCAGAAGGCACAGCCACGCTCTCCTAGAGGTTGGGGGAATGGGGTCAGCATAGCCATGGGGCCAGGTTCCAGAGCTAGGGACCCTATTAGAGTCACCCAGGCTCTGATGTTCAACACTGACTTGTATCCTGTAATGCACCCCTTGCCCCATCTGTGTCCCTCACTCCAGTCACCTCCGATGTCCAGCATGGACTCATCCCCGCAGTGCAGCACTTGCAGCACGGGTGGCACCTTCTGCTTAGCCTCCAGCAGCAGGGCTTTGAGGTCCATCAGCACGGATTCATCTGTGAGGAAGCAGAGGGGAGTGAGATCATCAGGCTCAATTCTGGGCCTTATGTTCAGAACCTGGGAATAGCTGAGGCCCCAGCGACAAACTCACCGCAAGCCTTGTTGATGAAGGTGGTGGCAATGCCTGTATTTCCCGAGCGCCCAGTGCGGCCAATACGGTGTACTATAGGAGGGGAGCAGAGAGCTTAGGCCCACTGCCCAGGAGCTGAGGCCTGGCCTCACCCTCCCCAACTCCCTAGACTCCCAATCTCCCCACCATAGTTCTCGATCTCCTCAGGCATGTCGTAATTGATGACATGTTGGATGGCAGGAAAGTCCAGGCCCTTGGAGGCTACGTCTGTGGCCACGAGAACATCTTTCTTGCCCTCCCGGAATGCCTCAATGGCCTTGGTCCGTTCCTCCTGGTCTGTGGGGGGTGGTGAAATGTGGGTGTGTTGAGGGGTTGGGAAGGGTTCAGGCAAGAACTTTTAGAGGTACATAAGGAATTTGGGGAGAAGCAGCCAGTTGGCTGGGCAGGGGAAGGGGTTAGGAAGAGGCTGCAGTGGCAGTAGGGTCTGTGCCATCCTGACCTTTGCCCCCGTGGATGGCCACAGCCTCGACCCCCTTGAGCAGCAGGTACTCGTGGATGGCGTCCACATCTGCTTTCTTCTCCGCAAAGATGAGAACCTGTCCAGGAAGGCCAACTCTACCTGGGTGCACCCCAGCCTCCCAGAGGCTGTGCCGACCATCCCCTCCCTCCTTCAGGGGGACTCAGGCAGCCGGCCTTGCCTGCTTCACTCACTGGTGGGGGTGTCTTCTGCAGGCACTCAAGCAGGTACACCATCTTGGCTTCTTCTTTCACATATTCCACCTCCTGCCACCATAAGGGCCAGATCAGGTGACCCTGAGGTTAGGTTCACCAGCCATGCCTTACCCTATAAGGCCAGATCCCAAATCCAGGATGGGTGGTGTCCAGAAGCCTCTTGCCACCAAGGGCTGGGAGTTATATCCATGTTTTCTGCTGAGGGGCCAGAGGCCATGAGTGACATCCCAGTGCCCCCAGGATGGACCCCTTGGGCTCCAATCAGAGGGCCCAGTTCCAGTTCTCAGAGGTGACATTCTAACCATCAGGGGTGCCTGCCCACCTGGATGACGTCCAGGCTGGCGGCCCCAGCGCGGCCCACATTGATCGTGACAGGCTTCACCAGGGCACTCTTGGCGAAGTTCTGAATCTTCTTGGGCATGGTGGCACTGAAAAGCAGCGTCTGCCGCTGGCCCTAAGGAAGAGTGGGGTTGGCACCTCAGGAACATGGGATGAGGAGGCTGGGGATGAAGGTAGGCAGGGGTTTGGAGACTGAAGAGGTGGAGTTGGGAAGGGGGATGCAGCGCAGTCAAATATGGTGTGCACAGGGTCTCCAGGTGCAGGAGGACACACACCTTGAAGTAGGAGAAGATGGTGCGGATGTCGCCTTCAAAGCCCATATCAATCATGCGGTCAGCCTCATCCAGGGCCAGGTAGCGACAGATGTCTAGGCTGACCATCTTCTTCTGTAGCAGATCCATGAGGCGCCCAGGGGTGGCCACCATCATGTGTACTCCACTGGGAACCAAGGAGAGACCTTGAGGTGGGTCTGCGTACTTCTACTGGTCCTCTCATTACTAGTCTGCATTCTCCCTGTCCACTACTCTTTGTGGTCACCACCCTGCCCTTCACATGGCACCTAGCTCTCCCCAGGGGAGGCTGTAGCTTTCTCGAGCACCGCTCTGCTCCCGCTACGCCTCCCCCTTTTCTGGACCACTTTTCCTTCTGCCCTGGGGGGATCTGGCCTGACTCTCAGGACGGGCTTCAGTTTACGTAGGCCTTGGTGGCCTCCCTCTCCTGTTAAGAGACAGAGCTCATCTTTCCCACAGGGGCAGCTTTTCTGAGACAGGGACAGACACTGGCCCATCCATGACCCCAGATGTGGCTGCTGTGGAACCAAAGCTGCTCCAGTAGCTCAGATTCTTGTTCTGATTACAGAATGACCCCAACACACTGAGTCTCTTGCCTCTGTCTGGACTACCCCTCTTTAAGTGTTCTCTTCCCTGTTGTTTTCTCGACCATTCTGTCTCCTCGATGCCCCAGTGGGCCATGCTGTTCCAGCTGCTCAACTTCCATGTACCTCACCACATACCTCTGTTCTAGCCCAACTGTCAGGAGTTGCAGTCCACCTGTCCCCTTCCAGGGACTGGGAGACCCCGAGGGCTCTTCTTCAGGGGCTCTGGGGCAGCCTGGGCCAGCACTTACTGTCGGATGGTCTCCATCTGCTCCTTGACAGACATGCCCCCGATGCAGAGTGCACAGCGCAGCAGAGGGGAGCTGTCCTCCTGCAGTAGGCGACAGTAGTACTCCAGGATGCCATGGGTCTGCCGAGCCAGCTCCCGCTGCAGGCACAGGGGCAGAGGCTAGCACCAGAAGGCAGCTCCAGGTTCTGTGCTCCCCACCCGGTTGGTCTGTCTTACCGAAGGGCAGATGATGAGTCCATATGGCCCCTCACGCTTGGAGAAAGGCAACCTCTTTTCCTGTTCCAGGCAGAACATGATGACGGGCAGTGTGAACACCAGAGTCTTGCCCGAACCAGTGAAGGCAATACCGATCATGTCCCGGCCAGACAGACTGTGGGGAGAAGGCAGGCCTAAAGGTCAGGTGTAGCAGAGACAGGGTCTACTCTAAATGGATGTGTACTGACTGCTCCCCCACTCACATGGTAGGGATGCCCTGGATCTGAATGGGTGTTGGGTGGTGGATGCCTTTCTTCTTTAGGCCTCTCAGGATAGCTGTGGAAAAAAAACCAACATCAGCTCACCCAGGGCCCCGAAGCCAGTATGATTGGCACCATCCTCTCAAGGCCACAACAATGAAACACGTACACACAGTATCTCTCTCTGTTGTCCAAGGCTCCTGAGCTAAGTCTAGGAGCCAGGTTGGGCTTCTTTCTGCTGCAGGTGCTATGTACCTTTCCATTGAAATTTCCCAGACAGAGGATAGTAAACATTTACAGCTGGGGTGACTGAAAAGGAAACCTAAATTAATTTCTCCTTAAATCTCTTCATTTCTATAGGTTACATCCTACAGCAGCTGTTGAACTCAGTAAGAACACAGACATGATCTTGTAGTTACTTGATTATAAAAGCGTGATGTCCCTCTCAGTTCCCAGGTACTTTACTTCACCTGTTTTACCTTGAATGACAAATCATTCTGATCAATTTTACCATTCTGATCTCTGAAGTAAATAAAGAAACAAATGCTTGAATATTTGTGCTTTAAAAAGAAACTTTCATAGGTCACATCTTCTTGCACCGTGGTATGGTGGTCCTAGGGTTCCCATGCCCTAATTGTCTCTGAGAGATCTGACAGAACCAAACTCTGCTTTCAAGTTGGTTCTAAATCACAGTGACTCTGTATAGGGTTTCTAAGGCTGTAAGTCTTTATGGGAGCAGAAAGCTCATCTTTCTCCCATAGAGCAGCTGGTGGGTTTGAATCACTGACCTTGCAGATAGCAGTGGTTGTGGTTATGTGCTGTGGAGTTGATTCCAACTCACAGCGACCCTGCACAGGGTTTCTGAGGCTACAAATCTTTACGGGAGCAGAAAACCTCATCTTTCTCCGGAGGGAACAGCTGGCAGTTTTAAATGGCTGACCCTGAGGTTCACAGCCTGATTCGTAGCCACTACGCTACCAAAGCTCCTTTGCAGAGAGCAGTCCAGTGCTTATTCTACAGCCTCACCAGGGCTCCCTCATGCATAGTTAAGTGATACTGACTATGTACATCATGTTCAGTCAGTATCATTAACCATTCCTGGATTTTTCACCACCTTAAACAGAAAAGTTCTGTGTCCCTTAAGTGTTGTGTCTTCTGTTCCTATCCCTCCTGCCCACCCCTGGCAACCACTAATAAACTTTGCTATACACTTTCCTATTCTAGATATTTCATATCTCATGTACTTTTTGATTATGGAAGGATGGTGTCTCTCCCAGTTCCAGTTCCCTGCCCCACTACCATAGAGTTGATTTCAACTGATGAAGACCTTATAAGACACCTTAGAATTGCCCTATAGGGTTTCTCAGGCTGTAGTCTTCATGGAAGCAGACAGCCTCATCTTTTTCTCTCAGAGCAGCTGGAAGGTCTCAGTGAGCAGCCCAACACTTAACCCACGGCACCACCAGTACTTCTTTCAGGTACCTGCAGGGAATTTCATTTCCTTGAAGCTCTTGATGGGTGGCGGGATACCATCTCCCTCCACGAGGATGTGGTACTTCTTCCGCACACGTTCATGCCGCTCCTCAGACATGCTCAGGACATAACGAGGGGGCATCCAACTATGGGTGAGTGACAGGGATCAAGAGAGGCCCAGAGCAAAATTGGTCTTAGGCTGTCCCTGCCAGTCTTAGCCACCCATAGTCCTAAGTAAAGCTAACTGTACAGACTGAAAAGACATACCTGGTTTTGATTGGGTCATCATATGTGATTCCCTTGGCCATCTCCTTCACTGACATCAAGGCTGAGAAGACAGACAGGGCTCAGGGGTGGCTCCTGCTTCCCCAGGGCCAGGTCCTACTAACTGCACTGCCTACAACCATACCTCGGCCCTCTGCCACGCTCTCTAGAATCTTCTCTTCTTCCTTTAGCTGCTTCTCCTTGGCGGACTCTTTGCGGGCTGAGAGAGAGCACTTGTCAAAAAGGCACCAGCTTCTCCGCCCGCCCCCCTCCCCTGCTTGTGGCTCAGTCCACCTTCAGCCTTCTCTTTGAGGTGCTGGTGCTGGTCCAGGAGGCTGACGTTGGACTGAGGGCCCAGTGGAATGTCGTCTTCATCTCCCTGGGGCTCGCTGCCGCTGTCCTGCTGCTCCTCCTCTGCAGCCCCCTTGCGCCTTCGCTGTAGCAGCTTCTGGAGCTGAGATTCCCCCCAGTGCCCCTCAGAGCCAAGCCCACGATAAAGCGGGGGATCGGATCCAGGGACATAAGAATTGTGGCTTCTGAGCGAGGGTCCCGGAGGCCCCAATCGAAAGCTGCCCAATCACTCAGATCACGTCCCCGCTCCCACACACTGACACCTCAGACCGCTACCGCCTCCCAAACCTACGGTCGTGGTCACGCCCTCCGGTCTTCTGCGACCCCAGGCACTCACCAGCAGTTGCCGGCGTTGCCGCAGCGGCACGTAGGGCACGTAATCATCGTCGTCCTCATCCTCCGCCTCAGAGAGGCTTCCTCCGGCAGTTGCCTCGTCGGTACGACCCCGCTGAAGACACTCTCGAGTCAGGACCAAATTTCCCGCCTTCACTCCCCTTCCCACCTCGCGCTAACCCCAGCCTCGCTCTTACCTTTCGCTCAGGTTCCGACTCCTCCATTCTTTGCTACACGCATGCGCGCCACGACAAAACTCCGCCTCATCTCTGAGGGAGACCCAATCATATGTGAACAAGCGGACGTCGGTGCCTAGCAACAACTTCTGAGTGCCGGATCGCAGAGAGGGACAAATTCTCTTAGAACGCTCTCAAACGGTGCTGCGCCAACGCCCCAGGTGTGGCTTCCCCGCCTGTTACTAGAGTTAAGGAAAAAACGTTAGACGAGGCGTGAAGGGACCTGAGTGGAGGTGACTGATCCCTAACCGACGGCGGCCGACCAGGTGTCCCCCTCACCCGGGGCATGACGTCATTCAGGCACGCCCCCGCTCTCTCCTAGGGTCTAGGAGCTCAGGGCCGCTGGGGAAGCTGGGGCTTGCGGAATTAAATAACCCAGCCCGCACCGCTGCCCTGATTTAAGCCCTTGTGAGACAATATCTTTGTTCAGAGAGGTGCAAGTTAAACAGAATCCTGATGACATTTTAGTCGTGAGGCTTTGTACATATGTGAGCGATTATTATTCTCGGGACTGTAATAGAGCTCAGATGACTAAACTTGCATGGGAAACCCGAGAAGGCTTCGAGGCAGACACTGTCTGAACCTGAAGGGACCTTGGTGCATGAAGTCGCGGAGAGGAAAAGAGGCACCTAGAGAGAGGGTACATACAACAGAAGTAAAGTGCTGGCCATGGCCACGTTCAGATTGCTCAGGGAGCAGAGAACATTGTAGCTGGAGTGAGTTGGGGATAGTCGGAGATTAGACTGGAAAAACGGATTGGGCCCAGATCAATTTCAACTTCACTGGGGATTTTTAGAGGAATTCTTTCTCTCATGTACTTAATAAGAATCTACTGAGTGCTGGACACCCTGCACAGTGCAGCAAATCAGAGATGAACAAGACACGAACCAATTTGAGATTAAGAAATCTTGTTTTGGGTTTAAGACAAAGTACAGGCATACCTTGTTTTATTGCGTTTTACATATAACCTTGTTTTTTACACAGTGAAGGTTTGTGGGAACCCTGTGTTGGGGCAAGTCTGTCTGTTTCATTATGGTAATTCTTGCAATGCTTCAAACCTTTTCATGCTATTGCACACTTAATAAACTAGTATTGTTGTTAGGTGCCATTAAGTTGGCTCAAACCCATAGCAGTCTTATGCACAACACACGAAGCACTGCCCGTTCCTGTGCCATCCTCACAATCATTGTTAAGCTTGAGCCCGTTGCTGCTGCCACTGTGCCAATCCATCTTGTAGGGGGTCTTCCTCTTTTTTGCTGACCCTCCACTTGACCAAGCTTGATGTTCTTCTCCAGGAACTGGTCTCTCCCGATACACCCAAACTGAGATGAAGTCAGGCCATCCTGGCCTCTAAGGAGCATTCTGGTTGTACATCTTTCAACACAGATTTGTTTGTTCTTCTGGCAGTCCATGGTACTAAGTATAAACAACCATTTTAAAAAAAAATGTTTTATTGTGAGTTATATGGTAGTTTACGTGAGAGAACTTTAGTTTTAAATTCATTTCATCATATATCATCTTATTGCCATGGTTCCAATCCCCTCCATGCACATCAACCAAAGGGTATATTCTAGAAGCCCGCCCCCAACACTCCCCCCCTCCCCCCCA